ATTAATTTGGCTAAATATTTTAATGAAGGCAGCAAAAAATGTGGCATGTGCCCTCATTAAAAAAAAAAAGAAAGACAATAACTTTTGAATAAGTGATAAAAATAAAACATTTTACAGTATATTACTGTATCACAGTACATTACCATAAAATACTGTTTAAATAACAAAAAACATACAGTATAATTTACAAGCAAAAAGCTAAATTTCATTATCTTCGTAATTGTAGTTTTAATTTGTAGTGATTTAAACAGTGATTGACTTTTTCATCTAAAGTGATAAATCATGAACAGTATGTGGCTAACTTTTATTTTCTTTCTTTTTTTTTTTGTTAAAAAAAAACTTTTTTTTACAGCTACCAAACCAAACAACAAGAAACTGATTAAATGAGCAGAGAAACTCTTGCCCCTTGAAACAATCTGACAAATCACTTTTGGCTTCATGGTACAGGACGAGCTGGGAATCCATTACTGTGTGTGGCCCCAATCCTCTCTTGCACTCCACAAACACAGAAACACTAGTTTAAAGAGAGGGGGGAAATAAGGCTGCCCCCTAGCCATACCAGCAGTTGCATGACACGTGCAATTAAAATGCAATTAAAATGAAAAAAAAAAAAAAATGTGCCGTGTTGAAAAGAAATCAGCAGCCTTGCCCTTCCTCATCTAAATCTCCCAAAGGTTTCAAAAAAAAAGTTTTCAAATGGCATTTCGAATTGGCAAACTTTCAGACACTTAAGTCTGTGCTCTCCATGAAGTGTTATACCAAGGATTACTAGAGAGGCAAAAGCGTGAATTGGTGGATTTCATGCAGTCTAGAGCTCCGCAGTATTGAACCACGTTGATTTAATGGCTTAAAAAGGCATCTCGATAGGCTTCCAAATGAACTTTACAGTCTATGAGTAGCATCCAAGCACTTTTGGGCTTTATTTAGCTTTTTCATTCATATCGTCTGCTTAATGAATAGCTCTGGATATAAGTGGCTGCAAACTAAACGAATAAATGTTTTAGTGTAGCTGCAATAACTGCGTGCGGCTTGCCCTGAATGTGTTTGCGCAGCAGATCTCGTCTAAAATAAAAGCAGCCTTAGGTACTATTTTACATGATTGAAGTCCGTGCTAATTAATGAACACCAGCATCCAACAACCCAAGAGCCCGTATTCCACGCACTCGCGTCCCAGTGGGCTTGACTACCTTTGTTTCTCTGGGCTGTTATTCTCAGAGGACTGAGTGATACAGTCTGATACAGCCTTACCTGCGGATGGAGGAATGGAAAGAGCGAATGAGCCAGGGACCAGGAGATTTGAGCATCCTATAGATTTGGTCACAGAGGTGTGATGATGGAGGGGGCTGTCAGGATGCTTTCACACGGGGTAAATCGCACCTCGATGGAGAGGAGAGAGTGCCATCATGCATTAGATTTGGAATTAACATTTCTCTACTCTGGACCAGCAGAGTGATTTGGGACTCTACACTGAGTAGAATGGTATTTTTAGCAATGTGATGGGAAATGTGTGGATTGGGTAGGAGTCAAGGTTGGTCCCCTTAGTTAGTTATTTATTCCCCAACAATCAAACGGTTTGGGTCTAATGAAGCAGCACTTTTCTCACTATCCTCTCATTATGGTAGTGTAGGTTGCTTTTTTTGTATACAGAGGGAAATATTTGGTTTTAAGGGATTGAATCGGATTAAAATATCAATACATTCAAAGCCAGACCGCCTACGGTGATATTTATTTATTTATGACTAAGGGAGAGAATTGAAGGAATTTTAGATGACAAATAATGCTTGTGCCACTAGATGGCAGAATATCAACTTGCATTAAAGGAAGTGTGTCGAATTTGGGTGCATGTAGATGTTCACAGATCACAAACGCTTCTGTTTAATTTATTTCATTTCTGCTTTTTTTCTGCAATTAAAGCTCCACATTATTAATATCATCCTCAGTTATATAAGTCAAAATCAGTTGAAACAAACAAATAAATAAATAAATGAATGGGACACATTTTTAAATCAAAACTGAACCTGGAATATGCCTTTAAGTAACCATCAAGTTTCTTGCCATCAAAAGTAGCTGCGAGGAAACAAAATGGTGTCCCCTGGATGTCCTGATGCTTTAGTGCATGTATCAGTTAAAATGTTACAAGAGAACATTACGCAGCACCCAAGGGTAGTGCGTTCAGTGCCCCTCTGTCAGACCACATTCACCCACCCGGCTCGGACAGCCTCGGAATGCTACTCTGCCGCAAAATACCTCCATTTATTTGATGTTGTCCAACACCGGAAGCAAACAGCGTTTTCCTTGTCAACAATTCAGAGCACCTAGTCAGCCTGTCACGCTCCAGAGTGCATCCTTTGGCTATGGCAATACTGACAGCCTCTCACTCTGTCTGAAAAAACTTGAGGTTTTTATAAAAGTGCACACTAGAGTGCTCAAACATAGACAGGAGTGCGATGGATGGGTCCAGTGAAACCCCCCCCCCCCCCCCCTCCGCCCCCTATAAAAATAATAATAATAAATAAATAAATAAAAAAAACGGCCAAAGAAATTATGCGGTTTTCATTATTCAACTTGTGATGTTAGTTATTGGTGTTTTTCTAACTATAGCTCCAGGGTGTTGTATTCTTTTTCTCCCCTTTTCCACATTTTTTACTACTTCTGTGACTGTTTCAACCCTGGGAGATGAAATATAGGATGCCAGTGTAGCAACATTTGTGTTTGCTGCAGTGTCCCTGTGGCTGGTGACATTATCTCATGTTCTGCTGTATTTTCTGAGCTGTGAACAGTTGCAGATTTTTTTCTTTAGGTTTCTGAAATCTTTCACGTATATAAATACATTTATAGGTGTTAATAAATCTTAATTTTTATTTCTATTTTGTTGGCTACATTCAGCACCAAGTTAAAACATATCAGACTGGATTATGTGTTCTTGAATACATGTTTTTTTTCAGTTTAGTTGCATATGAGCCTGTTCCTGTGTGGTGTGCGTGTTGGAGCAAAAAACAGGATTATTGATGTATGTAGATGAGCTACCTAAGTAATCCTGCTCTGAGGATTCCAGGAAGTAGAGCAGCAGGTGTCCTCTTTTGCGAGCACAGTTATCTCTCCTCGGTTGTTTGTAATTTGGGCATAATAGAACATCACCTTACAGTCATACACACATCATTTCTCAGTGAACACAGATAAAATTAAGCTTTAGTACATGAAAATATTGTCATGTATCTAAGCATATGTTTCACCTAACGGTTTATGGATCAGGTTTTATGGATAATGTTTGCTAGTTTTATTCAATGGATTATATAGTCTCTAGCCTCAAAGCACAGACAAGAGCGCTCCCTTTACAATCACTAAAACACTGTGGCTTTGTCAGTTCATCGCAATCTCACAAAGTTTAGTTAAAATACATGAAACTGCCAACAATACCCAATGAATCTCTTACTTGCATTGTGTCTACACTTTGTTTGTTAATGAGAGGTTTTGCAAGCCTGCATAATTCAGCACTCAATAAAAACTCAAATCTTTTTCCGAGTCAATTCGTTCATTTCGTTCGTTGAATGAACCAAATGACTCGAAGAAAACATTCGTTCATTGTGATGAACAAGTTCAAACAGGAGAGTCACGAACATGCATCACAGAACAGAGCAAGGTGCATCCCACAAATCTCCATCAACTGCAAGATGCTATCCTATCAATATGGGCCAACATTTCTAAAGAATGCTTTCAGCTCTTTGTTGAATCAATGCCATGTAGAATTAAGGCAGTTCTGAAGCTGAAAGGGGGTCAAACATAGTATTAGAATGGTGTTCCTAATAATCCTTTAGAGTAGAAAGCTGTCAGTTTTCATCAAAAATATCTTCATTTGGTTTCCGAAGATGAACTAAAGTCTTGCGGGTTTGGAACAGGATGGGGGTGAATAATTAAAGAAATTTCATTTTTTGGGTGAACTATCCTTTTAAGGGACTAAACACCAGTGGGTGGAGCCTATGTTATGATGGTGTAAAACGATTTGTCAATGTCCTGTTCTAGAGGCAGTCAAATGCAAATGTATTTGCCTGTGTGACGTCACAAATCCCACAATATCCAACTACACCGTTTTTGTAGCTTGGTTACATTGATGCCCCTTTTGTAAATGAGGGGGATGTTAAAAGCATGAGACTTACAAGATGTTATAAAATGCTACGAAACCTCTTATATGCCAAAAGAACAAGGAATATCTCATTTCTCATGTCATGACACCTTTAAAAAATGTTAAATGTAAAAATGCAGAAAGTTAACTTTTAGTGTAAGAGTGTGGGTTAATGTATAGTTATATCATATGAAATAACAATAAATGTCTATGGAATGTCCCTATTTAGGTGTGTGTGTGTAGAGAGAGTCCGATTATTGTAGCTTTAGTGTCACCACCTTCCAATTGTTAAACCAGTGAATCACCCCCTCTTAGTCTTTATGCAGTGCTGAACCTCAAACAATTCACAAGATGAATGAGGTTACAAAGTTCAATGTTGCCATTGTGTCTGACTGAATAAGAACTTTTTTGTTGTTTTTGTTTTGTTTTAAACCTGTCCTCTTTCTCTTTTGTTTTCCTATATATGTTAGGGCAAGCAGAAATACACTTAACATAGAATATATTTGTTGGCGGAAAGCAGTGTATGCTCCATTAGGCCTACTGGATTGTTGTCAAGGCCCATAATACATTTTTGCCTCCACTTTGCCATGCCTGTGGGTCATTTAAAAGACTGCTGAAGCATCTCCCTTTATCGTACCGCTAGACATAGCAGTATTTGGAAGGGAAATAACTTTTGCAGATTGTAAAGTATCTTTCTCTTATGTACGACTAAGTTTTGTGCCAGTGATCAAGTCCTAAATGGCTCTAATCCTCTATCCATCCTATGGTTTTTATGTATATGTAGAGCACTGTAATATTGTGGTTAAATAATTTAATCCTCCTTGGTTATACAGATGCAACCCCTCTTTGCTAGTTTGTCTATTTGAGTGATTTCCAATACCTGCTCATGGAATGAAGCTATCTTGTTCTCCGAGAGTCCATTATCACTGTAACCGTTGATGGAGATGAATTGGGACAGCTCTCTTCTGTGCTATACAGCAGGGGTATTTTCTCTAAGGAGACAAGGGAAGCAATGGAAGAGAATATAATTGACAGGATGAACACAAAACAAATGTTTGACAATGAGAAATGTGTGTAAAAAGTGCTAGAAAGAAAGTTTAGAGGTCAGAATGTTCTGTATAAGACTAGATTTTCTGTCCATTGGCAAACTAAGATCATGTTCAGAGTCATGACATTGACAGGACAGAACAGGACTTTAAAACCTTTTTTTTTTCACTCTACGATCCTCCTGAGGAATAACCAATCTTGAGACCCACCAATTTCTTGTTTTTCTTTCTTTTCTTGTGGGAAAAACACACACACAAAAAAAAATAAATGTGTTGTCTTTTACTGAACTTGGCATATTTTACTTTCATATTTTTGGCAAATTGTTTCATTTGGTGGGACGCTCTGATGGGTTGAGTTCATTCAGTGAAAGATTCTTCAGACTGAGTTTGATTCTTTTTGAACGATTGTTTTAAAGAACCGAGAGTAATTTGTTTGAATCTGTGCTGTTTGTCTAAGCGTGTAAGGCCACCACTGGAAAGCGTTACAGAAAACACTGGTGTGATCTGTGACACCCTTGTGCTGCATTGTTTGAGATAAACAGCAAGTGCAGGTTTTACCCATTTGACCTTGTTAATTGAATTTGAGAATCTGGGAGAGACAAATTTATGTTTATTTTTTAACACTGTTTTCTGTGCTAAACACTTGTTTCTATTGTGTGTCCCACAGTTTGTAAACTGCCATTTTAGTTGATTATTCTCAATTATCATACTACACATTCTGATAATTACAGTTTAAGCATTAGTAAGAAAAAAAAATGCTCATCAAAGAAAGATAATCAAAACAAGACGACACTGCTTATGTGATTTGATGAGACAAGCCTTTCCAGCTGTAAGTTCAACTGCAGTATTCTTAGATTTTTTACCAAGGTAGATAAGATTAACCTGAACCATGTTAATATGACACAGAACTGCCTCCTCCTGAGAGGTGTAAGCACATAGCTTGTGCCTTTACTCTTATTTATTTCTCGTCATTTCTATAGTCAACTTAATTTGCAGGTGTTAAGTAAATTACTATAATTAAAAGGGCGTCTGCAATCTTGTGATAACATGCATTATATCCTGATTATCTAGACAGATGCAGATGTGTGAAAAAAATATATATTCATATGAAAATGACTTAATGTTTTTGATTCATGTTATGTGACTTTGCTAAAGTGTGATGTTTGCAAAAAACAAAAGATTATGGCCCAGTTTCACTGACAGGGCTTAGATTAAGCCATGATTAGTCCTTAGCTCATTTAATTAGCTTTTATAAACGTGAAAAAGTCACTGATTTGCATCTTGAGACATAATATTTTAAAATGTCTCAGTGCAAGTTGCCTTGCTTAATCATGCATTTTAGTCTAGGGCCCTGTTTACTCGAGAACGCTCGCGAGTGAAAACGTAAAAATATTTTATGTGCCTTTCGTTTACACTGCGACAGTGTTTTGGGGGCTTAACAATGCAAAAAAGTGAAACCACCCTCCAGAGTGGAAATCTTAAAAATGCTCCACCGCCGCGTTCCCGTGTAAAGGGTAAAAACGCAAAAAGTCTGCCCTATGTATGCAGGCGCGCGAACTTGGTGTTGTTGTGTGGTAGTGCTCCACATTGCCACCTAGCTGCCTGAAGTGCATACTACATTGAATTTCGCGCACGTTTGCGTCACCGTTTACATGCGGATTTCCCACCCAAAACGCTCATCTAAACACAGAATAAAAAGTGATAACACAAAGCCACTTTTGCGTTTTCTCTTCAGATTCGTTTCCGTGTAAACATGGACTAGTGAGACCGGGAGTAATGTATTTACATATAACCTAAGATTCAGCAATCTCAGGTGGCATGGCTTTCTAAAGTAATGACCAAAAGATTAAAACAGATTAATTTAAGATGTGTAACAAATGAATTAAATGTAAAACATAATTTAGCTACCACATGATAATGTACATGGTTTGAGGTAACAGTAAAACACATGCAGAGATTTTTGCTGCTTTGAGTTCATTGTGACCTCTGACCGTTGCCTGTGTTGCAGTGAGATCAGTAACTTGGTTGTCATGGAAACAATGCTACAGGACAAGTTCACATCGCTTTACAGCTCAGTCAGTGAATTTGATCATTTGCACACATGCATAGGCTACATTTGCCTGATGAAATATAGTAGTGGGCAACAGTGTTGTCCAGAGCGGATATTTGTTTTTAATGACCCTGCTACAGAGTTTGATTATACGGTCCCACTTTATATTAAGTGGCTTTAAGTACTATGTACTTACATTGAACAATAAGTACAATGTATTATTGTGTTCCTGTTGTATTGTAAAACACTTTTGCTGCTATTGAGATGTGATACGGGTAAGGTTAGGGACAGGTGTGGTGGTATGGGTCGGTTTAAGGGTAGGTTAAGGTGTGAGGGGAGGGTCAACTGTGTAATTACTAATGTAATTACATAAAGTAATTATGGCTGTAATTACATGCTGGAATTTTAAAATATAAGTACAATGTAAAAACATGTAAGTACACAATAAGTCCATTGTAACAAACTATTAATTTCAATGTAAGTACATAGTACTAAAAGCCACTTAATATAAAGTGGGACCGATTATACTATGATATTTCAAATATGTGGGAAGAACAAAACCCAAAACTTGGTAAAGGATTTTATATGACAAAATTATTTGGCTAAAAAAACTGCAGCTAGATTATTGGTTTTACTATGCACAAAGAAAATGGATAAGAAAAACAAAAAGCTCACAGGAAAAAGCACACTGACTACAGCACGCTAAAATAATTTTTTAAGTGGTTTTCTCACATGCTTTTGCATGTGTCTGCACAGTATGACATGTTTTTATTGGGCTATCACAAATAAATCCAAACTCCAAGCACAACTACACAATATGATTTCAAAATATTTTGCACATTCTAATCACACTAGCCAAATGAACCAAACTCGGAATCATACAGATTTAGGTCTGTACCCAAAACATCCTTATTCATATTATAAAAAGTTTGCCATTTGAAAAGCTTCCCTTGAACATCAGTGCTGTGGCAGAGCTCAATACCTTTTCTTTGTGAGTTTTAAATGACTCTAGCATAACAATCCTGAGCCATGCTGTGGTGGGTGACAAGGTAGGATTTCCTCCAGCTGGGGTGTTTGTCTTCATAGCCTGACCCTCGGGAAGTGCCGTGTAAAGCCTAATGTCTCATAGTTCGTGTTCTACCACAAGTATGTTCGGCCATTTGTTCCCCGACAGCTCCCATGTCTTGACTTTTGCTCATAGCGAGTGCACTGCTTTCCAGGGCATACTGTCACACAACTCGCTAAATATTTACCTCATGCTGGTTAAATATAGACAGTTCGCAAAACAGCCCATCCACGACAGGTCCCATCAACATGCTGCTGAGAAGAATGATGGATGGCCTTGCCTGAGAATTTATCACAAGCAAAACAGAAAGGAATTGGGTAAATGACTCCTGACGGAAACAGTGTGAAATGCTACAATTTTCACCACAAATGTCTGATGTTGTCCTGAACGCCTCTTTAGTGTCATATAAATATGGCAAAATGATGAGACAGGACCATGGGGTATTTTTCTCAGCAGGTGGCGTTCCTAACAAAACACGTTTAACTTTGGGCGACTTTTTGTTTATGGACTCCTAAGGCAAGGGCAAAAATATACAGAACTAGAATTATGGCTTAAGGCCGTGTGTCCACCTAAGCCTTTTTAGCCAGCTGAAAACGCTAGACGCTCTGCTGAAGACGCCGTGCTTTGGGTGCTTGAGAGCGTTTTGGCAGCGCAGCGTTTTTTCCGTTGAGACGTTTCGTTGCTATGATACAGAATATCCGCAGCACAGTTTGAATGTTGTGGCAGTTGGTCAGTGTGGTTTAGTCCCGCCCCTCCTCCACTGTGATTGGACGGCTGAGTAAAAAGTGACAGTGATGAGCGCTGCGTTTTATCCAAAGTTGATAAAAAATAACGCTCAGCGCCTCGTTACGCTCATGCCGTTTAAAAAATGCGGCGCTCCCATTGAAAACAATTGAAAATGCACGTGGAAAAACGCTTTGGTGGACACACGGCCTAAGAACATTTTTTTTCCAATCATTGCTGCAAGTTGTGCCTTCATAATACAAGAAATTCCGCAAACATTATCCTCTAACATGTAGGTTGAACGAGTAAAGTAACCTCACAGATGAATGGATAAAATCAGTAATTTCAAAAAAGAGCGAGTGAGTGGTTCAGTGATACAGCATCTCTCTCTCTCTCTCTCTCTCTCTCTCTCTCTCTGTGCGTATGTGCGAGTGTGGCTGAACGAGTTGAGTGTGGCTGTGAGAGCGAGTGTGCAGGTGAGGTGTGTTTTTAAACTTTTCTATTTCGGCAGTGAATATAGACGAGGTTTGTTTAGCAGAAGGAGAAGTGGTAGGTTATTATTCTGTGTTGTTGACTTCGTCTAGAATGAATAATGCCAAAGTATTGTTTATGAGCTCTGTGAAAATAGCTAATGAATTAGTGGAGTGTGGTTTAGGGATAAATTATACTTTTACGGCCGTGCTTCCACTTTCAATGGCGTCTAAAAGAGTGACTTTGTCAAATGCGTCACCTTTCGTAAAGGATGAGTTCTTAGTAAACATGCTATCTCACTATGGAAAATTGGTTTCACCAATTAAAAAGATGTCACTTGAAAATGTTAATCCACTCTTGAAGCACGTTATGCATTTGTAGTACTAAAGAATAATGGTGAAATGGAAGTGTCATTTAATTTCCGAATGGATGATTTTGATTACTTGATTTATGCAACTACTGATAAAATTTGATGTTTTGGATGTGGTAGAGTAGTGTCACGATTCCACACACAGGAAGCAGGAGAAAAGCAGTATCTTTATTCAAGGATTACCCATACTCACAACAGTACAGGCAAGGGTCGAAATCCAAATAATCAATCCATACATGAAAAACAAAGAACACTGGCAAGAACACAGGACTCAGAAGTAGTGTGATGAAAAACAAGGACACCGTAACAAACACGATACAGGCAGGGTATTTATACACAGAACAAGACAATCATGACGGGTGACAGCTGATGAGAACAGACAAGAATTGTGGGAAATGCAGTTTCTAATGTGACTGACACTGTGGGGCAAGAGGATCTCTAGTGGTGAACCAGGGAAACACAAACCCATACTGTGACAAGTAGGACATTTGGGGCGTACATGCCCAGATGACGTTGTAAAAGATGAAGAGGTTAGATGACAGACATCTGCAGAAGCTTTTGAGGGTTCCAGTTTGAATGTTTCAAAGTTTGTAGAAAAAGAGGCATATGTGGATGTGGCTATGGATAAGAGTGTGTCTCAGACTACTGTATAGAGTCTAGACCGTCTGGGTCTGAAGAACCAATGGAAGAAATGGCTGTATTGGTGGAAGGTGAAATGCGGTGTGATATAAAATCATCTGAAATGGTTCCTGATGTATCTCAATGACAGCTCATGTTTAAATTCAGAGGAACAGTTCAGATAAGAAACGTTAAAGATTGAGAATGACTGGATCAGTTGTGCTCCTTTTTTGGAATACTTGAATACCTTTTTTATTTGTGGTATACTTGAAGCGGCCCAGCCTGACACAGACTCTAGCTCCAGCGGCCCCCAGTTAAGTTGAGTTTGAGAAAAAAAATATACAAAATATACGAAAAAATACAAAACTATCTTCAGTTAAGGTAAATTGGGCCAAAATTGAAGAGATTTTGGTTGAACAGTGGTTACAGGGTGCACCAAAGCTCCCAAACGAATTAAGCCAGTCTATGGGAGGTTTTAAATATCTAGGTGCAGTGAGATGTTTCTACTGTTATGCAACTATGCAACTGTTTCTAGCCGTATGCAAGATTGTGGCCAAAACTGGTACTGCAATCACTTTCAAATGACTGTAGAGCGTTTTGAGGCAAGAATGCGACTAGAGCTAGAATTTGTTTGATGTTAATATCAGACAAAATTCAAGTTTGGTTACTTCAAGAACCACTGATTTATGGAACCCGTTTTGAAAATGTGGTAAACAGTTCTTATTTTCCTGCAAATACTGGACTATTAATTAAATCAGGAATAACGACACTGGGAGATTTAGTAAATATTGCAGGACCAGACTTCGACAATATTGAGAAGACAGCAGAAAAGTTGGGATTGAAATCTTTAAGGTTGGTTCATCAGCTTTTAATAAAGTGGAGTTCTTGAAGAGGAGGAGTTGAAAACCATCAAAGACTTTTGCAGAGGTGTCATAAAACCAAAGGAAAGAAGACCCTTTCCATATGTCACCTAAAATGATTGAGTATGAAGGTCCTTTTTTTTTGGAAAAGAAAGATATAGGTTTCAGTGCTGATTCATTTAATGTGAAAGATGTGTTTAAAAATTGTGTGAGTTTTTAGATAAGTTTCACATAATAGGAGTGATACACCATGGCGTAATGTCATTGGGCTTCGTAGAGATTTTAGACCACAATGAAGAGCACTATATAAGCCACCGTGGTGCAGTGGAGAATCTTACATGGAGTTATAGCTCTGAATGCTTTTATTTCTGTAATAAACTCAAAGATTAGTTCTGACTGCCCTTTTTGCATGCAGAGAGAAACCATTTTTCATGCTTTTATGTATTGCGATAGATTGAGACCATTATTTATTGTTGTAGAGTCTTGTTTTAAGCCTTTTAATGGAAAGTTCTCTATGCAAATGTTTATTTGTGGTTTTAAATATGTAAAAAGAAAGGCTTCTGTGTATCATTTGTTAAATTTTGTTTTTGTTTTTTACCAAAATTTCACAGTCAGCTTGGACGTGCATTGACATTTTTAATTGATAGACAAGCAATCACAAGTCGTGTAACAATATATTGTAAAACAAAAATGCCACAAGATGTATTGTGGATAGTGACAATATATATTATATATAATTCACACAAAATTAATGTTTTGTGACTGATTTGTATAGCATTAAACATCAAATGGGGGGGAGTTCGTGCGTATTATACGCAAAAGAGTGCGTATCATATGTACGCGAAAATCGCGTGCCAAATACACGCAAAAACTGTTTTTGGCGTATAAATGCCACGAGAAATGACATTCGTGCCATAGATACGAACTTTCATTAAATCGGGCTGCTGTGGCTGGAGCAAGGCGGCACCGGTCAGGGGTTTGAAGGTTCATCAAGGGAAAATGAAATGCTTGAGGGAGACGGCACATGGGCCTCACATTGACCGGTACTTCTTACAAAGTCAGTCAAGGCAGTTGAATGAAATCCAGCGACATAAAGCAAACCACAGCTCGCAGGATATCAGCACCCCTGTCATAGAGGAGGTGAGGGCTTGCACAGTTAATGATGAACATATTGATACTTGTGTATACATGTGTATACAAATACATGTTCCCATGGAAAATATAACGACTTTTCCTTGTTGTTCTCAGTGTCAAAAAAAAAAAAAAACCTCTAGCTTTCAAGAGCCAGCTGTCAATGTGTTGTACAATTCCTGACCTTTAGATTAAACTCTATGTGTCTCTATACTTCAGTAAAGTGATTCTTAAAAGTGATATTTTAAAACTGCACTCAAAATATCCAAAAAAGCACAAGGCCATATAGTCTAAGCGTTTGTTTGGTTGCATCCTTTCCGTCCAAGATTTCAAAACACAATGACCCACCTATCAGGAGACACTACATTTTAAAGGTTGCATTAAAGGGCAGAGCGTACCGTTACTGGCCGGTCTTTGTGTGTTTGGGGGAGATGGGGGTTGGTATCGACAGATCCTCTAACTGATGTCTCCAAATCCTCAATGAATAATTCATTTTGTGTGCAGGGGACAAGATCCCTCGGCTGAGCTTTCATCTCCAAGACTCCAGAATGACCGATGTCAGCCTCATGTAGAGTTCATTTCTCCTCTGCTCCCAAAGTCAGGGGTGTCACCTCCACACTGAAATGTTCAGTTAAGACTCATGTGAAATATTTATTCCAGCCAACTAATGCCGCTCCACTTTGTGAAGACAATGAGTTATCGATGTTTTAAGCAGTGTAAACAGCACACTTTGTACTATACGAAGATTGATCCCACATTAAATGTGATGTGACAACATGACGGCTCTTCATACACAGCTCACTAATTTTCAGCTAATTCAGCCCATTTTAAATAATAATGTTTTTGCTCCTGGCTGACACTTGTTAATTATTATAATAGCTCTGTTTTGAATTTAATTTTCATTATTGAGAGGCAAGAGGTGAAGGGTTTACCGCAGGAACTTACAGCAT